TTTATCTTTCTTGTTTTTGGGGGGGGGGGGGGGGTTCTTCCGGTCTCAGAAACTTCTATTTATAGTAAAGGACTTCTAAAACTTCTTGAATAAGTAGCGATTAATTGTTTATAAGTATTTCACGAGACCACTTCCTTTGAAATTTGCCTCCAGAAGCATATTAATGGTCACAATCTTTCCCTTATCTATATATTATATCTCTAAATCACCCACTTGAATGATGATTGAAAAACTGTTATTTACATTCCCTATAGTTTATTATATTTACTGTTTGTTTTCCATGCCTGTTTTACTGTTGCAGACTGAAGTATTACAGAAGCTGTCAATGATGCGTAGACATGTTATTTCTACTGGTGGAGGTGCTGTTGTGAGGCCCATCAATTGGTATAAAAATTAACATAAAACTACTGGGAAAAGTTTTACCTCCAACTTTGCCATTAGCTCTTCTCACTTCAGTCTTCACCCATGGATAAATATGGATTGCCAGGAAATATATGCACAAGGGAATTAGTGTTTGGTTGGATGTACCTGTAGAAGCCTTGGCTCAGAGAATAACAGCTGTAGGAACTGATTCTCGACCACTTCTACATTATGAAGCAGGAGATGCATACACAAAGGTAAATGATTTCTCTTCCACCACAGTCCACAGTAGTGTTTTTCTTTTGCAGTATGTAGGACAATAAGTAATTATTAAGAATCTTGGAAAGTTGGAGGAACTATCTTAGTAGGGAAAATTAGCATCAAGATTATTTTTTCCTCTAAATAATTTTACCCTTTGGAATTCACATGCAGACTTTCATGCGTTTGTCTGCCCTTTTTGAAGAAAGAAGCGAAGCATATGCAAACGCCAATGCCAGGGTCTCCTTGGAAAGTATGTCTGCAAAGTTATTTCATTTTTTCAAATAAGAATTGTTGTTCTGTTCGCTTAATTTTTTTGGTCTTGAGTTGTGGGTAATTAATCAGTCTTTAGAACATAACATAATTGCTGTAGCTTTTAGATTTCTGTGAAGCCCTAAAGGTTACTATTCATTCATCATCTGCATTCTAGATAACATCCTTCTATTATTATGTTATGTTCTTTTGTACAGATATGGCAGCAAAACTTGGCCGAAGTGATGTGTCAGATTTATCTCCAACTACTATTGCAATGGAGGTATGCCACTTCTTCCTGAAACAATCCCTTCTGAACTTTATTTTGTTTGCTCTTGACCAACTAACATTCCCGAAAGCTAAAATCGTATCAACATTTTGCATCATTGATACTTATTTGTGCCTATGAATTTGTCAGGCGCTAGAACAGATCAAAGACTTTCTCATAGGTGAAGATGCCTATTAAACACGTGCTATCACAAATCTTCGACACTAGCATGTTCTAGTTGTGCATATTTTTCTCTTCAAATTATATAGTACGACAATGTGCTGTATTTTTTTTTTTTTTTGGAAAAAGAATGATGCATGCATCATTAAGAATCAAGATCGAACGTATTCAGAAGTGTATATGCGTAATTTGTGTGAGCACAATTTGAAGCAACAGCGTTTATTTTATATATGCTTTTGTTCGTTATTGTATATTTTTGTAAAGGTGATGTTGTAATCTGAAATGGATAAATCAGTTTATGCATGTCAAGATCTTTGCTGGTGTTTTTTTTTGGTGACAATATCTTTGCCGGTTTAGTAATAACCAAGTTTTATAAATACTTTTAAGTAAACAAATTCACAGGTAAATTCTCTTGTCACGTGAAAAAATTAATTAAATTACTTTTTGTAGCGTGATTATATTTCGACAAGAAAAATAATTTATCCGTAATAAATTCTATAAGCTTTTTTGAGTTGCATAAAATAAAACGCTTTTTAGTTTATTTTAATAATTTTTTATGAATTTAATTTCTATACAGTGACTTCCTAAAAAATTTATATCAAGAAATAATTTTTGGTAGGACTTGTAAGATGTAATATTGTTATTTGAAAAATCAATGAATTCTCTCTAAGCTGAAATATAAGTATCTATAAATAAATAATAATTTATGCTAAGTAAGTAAATTAATTAATATTATTTAATTTTATTGATTCGAGTTGAATAATAATTTTTTAAAAAAATTTGCCTTCCATTGAAAATTAATATAAAAAATAAAATATAATTGATTCATCTGAAGTCAAGATTTAAATTTAGCTGATTTTATATTTGACAGTTAACTTCACCTACCTACCATGGATTGGTAGATTGGATATCTAAGTTTTTAAAAATAAAAAAAAATGTAAAAAAGGAAGAAAAAAATCAAATAACAATTTTTTTCTTTTTCTACAAAACATTACATTTTTCTCATCAAGCCATTCAATGATTTAAATACTAGTACAAATAGAAATAATAACACTAAAATCTTACTTTAGTTGACATACTTACTCAAAAAGATTTTTCAATGATAAAGATAAAATTCTTTTAAAAATGTTTGGATTGGGTATCTTAATATATCGTTAACTCCTTACTTGGTAGTTATGGAGTTGTAGAGTATCATCATTTATATACCATTTTATAGATAGAAAAATAAAAATAATAAGATAGTCTAAATAACACCATTTAAATATTTTTTAAATCATATTATTGATAAAAATATATATTAGTTCTATCAATGACTAGAGGACAAACAAATTACTTTTAGTAAAAAATTTCTTGTTAATCAAATCTTTTTCATTCATAGAAATTAAATTTAAAATCTTACTTGATGATAACATTTTATTCGAACCAAAGATTTTTCTCTAATCATTTAATCATCTAATATTACCATTTAATTAACATGAACAAGTAATGCAATGATATCATTCAAACAATATACATGAATAAATACATATACAATATTATACTTGTCTAAGAATATAATATAGGCTAAATGTCTAATTTGATCCCTTATAATATTTAAAAGTTTCAATTTGGTCCTACTTTAATTTTTTGTTTCAATTTAGTCCCAAATTATTTAAAATTACTGCAATGTGGGACTTCCGTTTAAATTTCATAAACAACGTTTACGAGTGTCCAACGTGGAAATTCCTACGTGACTTCCTTTCCTGCGTCGCTTCCTTTCTAGCGTAAGAGAAGAATCGATCCATTATTCATTGCAATTCCAACATGACTTCTTTTCCTGTGTGAGAGAAGAATCGCGACTTGTAAAGGGCATTCGTGAAGAAGAGGAATCATTGATTGTGAGTCACTCGTAAGGGCATTCGTGAAGACGAACTGGCGTGTGGATCTTATTGACATCGGGTAAGTGTTGTTTTTAAGGGATTTTGATTTAGGGTTCGACTAAGGGTCTTATTAGTCTGTTGTTCATATATGGGTTTCAATTTAGGGTTTGAATTCGCGTGGGACTGAAAATGGGGTTTTTAATAAAGGGTTTTTTGTTGTAGGGTTTGATTTTGCTTTTCGTGTGGTCCTAAACAATGGGCTCCTAACATGTTGTATTGTGTTTTGCATATGTTGGCCTGTATAGATGCAAATATTAGCCCACTGATATAGTCATAAACTGATCCTAATTTATTTGCATATGTTGGCCCACTAATGTTCAATTTTTTACTATGCTGGCCCACTAGTGTGTTAGTTGTTATGTATGCATATATTAATTGTGTTTGTATTAATTTTTAATTAATTTTTTTCTATAATTACAAATATATATTACAATAGGTAAATATTAAATTATGTGTTCTGGATTTTTATAGGATTTGCTTGACATGGATGAATATTTTGAGGTAGTTGTCCATCATGGGGGGAAGTTTGTGAATAGAGAGAAGTTAGATTATGTGAGTCATGATTCCACATGGTCATGTGACCTTGATAGATGGTCCTATTTTGAAATATTGGATATTTTAAGAGAAATAAGATATATTATAGTAAATAAGATGTGGTATTATGTGGGTGGGGTTGACTTTGAGAATGGGCTGAAGTTGTTGTCTGATGATAAGGGGGCCATGGAAATGATAAGGATAGCAAGACAATTCGAAAATGTTAGATTATATGTTGAACATCCAACATCTGAAGCTGAAATTATACAAAGTTTACCATCAACTGCTATTGTAACAAATGATGGGCCGGTGCCTAATGATAGTGGGCCTAATGATAGTGGGCTTCAAAATGATGGACTTATGACCGATGAGAGTGGGAAGAGGCATGTAGTTATTGATGATAGTGGGTCTGGTCCTTTTGTTGATGATAAGATTGGGATAGAGGCTGATGTTAGTGGTGATTGTGGGGTTGGGTGTGTTGCTAATGATGTGAGTGTGGCAGAGGATGGTATTGGTGATGAATAGAGTGTGCCTGAGTTTGGGGCTGTTGGTGCTGATGAGAGTGTGCCTGAGGATGATGTGGGTAATGAAAGTGAGGCTACAAAGGGTGATGATGTTTGTGATGATAATGAAAGTGAGGATAGTTATTGCAGTTATTCTTCAGTACATTTGGGTGATACAGATGAAGAAGAAATTTCAGATATTGATTTATTTGAGGTACCTGTTAAACCTAGACATAATGTTAATGTTGATAGGTTTAAAGGACCTTTGGAAGTAAATCAGGTTACTAATAGTGATGAGTTAGATAAATTGAATGATTTTGAAATACCTATGCCTGAACAAGTACCTCAAGAACAACCTAGTAGTAGTAAGAAGAAAGGTAGGCTTAGGAAGATTCTTGAGCCTACAATTGAGTCTATTGCTGCTTAAGATAATGAATATTCAGATGGTGATTCAGATGATGACTTGTTCAAAGGTGAAAATTTTGGAAGAGGAAAAAAAATGTATTCCATGAGCAGGGGTATTTCTGATGAAGAATATGAATCAGAAGAATTAATAAGTGGGTTGGATGACACTAGTGATGAAGAGGATACTGGAGGTTCAAGTATGTTTCCAAGTTTTAAGATGTCCAACAATATGGAAGATTATAAGTGGGAAGTGGGATTGTATTTTTTGAGTAGAGAACAATTTAAAGAGGCAATTACAACATATGCTGTTCATTCAGGGAGAAATTTAAATTTTACAAAAAATGATAAAAAAGAATAAGGGTCATACGTAAAGAAGGATGTCCATGGGTAGCATATTATGGCAAAGTACCTTATGAAGAAAGTTGGCAATTAAGGAAGGTTGTTGATAGACATACATGCAGTAGGGACCACAAGGTGACTTTGTTGAGTTCAAAGTAGTTAAGTGGAAAACTAAAAACTTCAATTAGGGAGAGTCCAAAACTGAAATTGAATGATATTAGAGAAAGAGTGCAGAGGAAGTGGTGTTCATTCAGTGTGTTCTATTTCTTTTGTAGGGGTTGTTGCCGACAATCAATGAATTGTTACTTGGTGTAGATCAGAAGTTTTATATTAGACACTTGTACAATAATTTCAGGAAGAAGTTTCCTTAAAATTTTTTAAAGGATTTGATGTAAAAAGTAACTACAACCACATATCCTCAAGCATGGGAAATAGAAATGCAAGAAATAAAAAAAGTGAATCTTAAGGCATTCAAACATTTAATTAAAATTTCCCCTAGGTATGCTATGTATGTTTGAATTTTATGCCTTAATTCAAATAATTGTATATATTTTAAAACTTCCAGGTATTGGAGTAAGTCAAGGTTCAAATCAAATCCAAAATGTGATATGTTGGTTAACAATATGAGTGAATGTTTTAACTCAGTTATTGTTAAGGCAAGAGCAAAGCCTATTGTTACCATGTTAGAGGACATCATGGAGAGATGAGCTAAAAATAAGAACAACATCCTATTACATAAAAATATAAATTTTCATTTTTTAACTTATAAAAATTTACATAAAAATATAAATTTTATAAACATAAAAATATTATTTATCATTTATATTTATCATATTAAAATATTATTTTTCATCTTCTAATATTTAACTTATACAAATAATATAAAAAAAATACATAACTATTTTTTTTATTTAAACTATTTATATTATTTAATTTAAATATATATAACAAAAAACATGCAACAGACAAAAAAAAAGTAAAAACAATTCCTCAAATATTTTCATTCAGTATACATTTTAAATTAAAAACAATTTTAATTTTTAATAAACAAATATATTTAATATTAACTAACTTATTAAATTTCATCAATTATATTAAAAAATCAATTATATAAACATAAAACTATTTTCATTTTTATTTAACTTATAACAATAATATTTTTCATCTTTTAACTTATTAAAATTTATATAAAAATATAAATTTTCATCTTCTAACTTATAAAAATTTACATAAAAATATAAATTTTATAAACATAAATCATCTTCTAACTTATTAAAATTTACATAAAAATATAAATTTTCATCTTCTAACTTATAAAAATTTACATAAAAATATAAATTTTATAAACATAATAATATTATTTATCATTTATATTTATCTTATTAAAATATTATTTTTCATCTTCTAATATTTAACTTATACAAATAATATAAAAAAATACATAACTATTTTTTATCTAAGTCAAATTATTTATATTATTTAATTAAAATATTTATATTTTATATATATAAAACAGAAAACATTTAAACGAAAAAAAGAAGTAAAAACCTTCATAGTGTGTTTGGATGAGTAATTTAAATGAAGTAATTCATTTGTTTGAAGAATTTCAAATAGAGAATTTATAAAGAATTTAAAATCCAAGCATTTGTGAAATTCTTTAAAATAGTAGAATTTCAAATTCTTCCAAAAAAGTAAAAATTTAAATTCCTCATTTTTTCCTTATTTTTAATTATTTAATATTTAAAAATAGTTTAAAAATGATTAAATATTATCTAATATTAATTTTTTAAATTATTAAATATTTAAAAATTAGCTAATATTTATTTTTATAAAATTTTATTTAAAAATCTCAACATATAAATATATTTTTAAAATCAATTTATCATAATAGAATCAAATTATCATATCTAAATTAACAATTTAAAATTTTAAAAAAATTGAATTGACTTATCCAAACAAAATATTTTAAGAATGATAGAAATTAAAATCAAAATAATTTAAATACTAAAAATTTTAAATTCTTTAAATTTGTATTATTTTTCATCCAAACACACCATCACGGATTTTGGATTCTAGGGGTTCCGACAAAGAAAATTGGGTGGGAGAGGGGCCCTGTGCTGGTAACCGAATTCCGACTATGTACAATGAGTTCAGTTCTGTAATTAAATTGGGGTTTATTTTTGTAATTTTTTTTTAAAATTTCATAACAGTAAAAAATTCATTGCATTACAGCATTAGTTTTTAGATTTTTGTGAAGCTCTAAAGAGTACTTTTCATTCATCAACAGCATTCAAGATAACAACTATTATTGGGTTGTGTTCTTTTATACAGAAGTGGCAGCAAAACTGTCAGATTTATCTCCAACTGCTATTGCAATGGAGGTCTGCCACTTTCTGACCCACCCCTCTTTCTGAAGCTCATTCTATTTTTCTTTTGACTAACTAAATTCCCGAGAGCTAAACTCGTATCTAGATTTTGCATCATCGATACTTATCTGTGCGTATGTATTTCTCAAGCGCTAGAACAGATCAAAGGCTTTCTTTTGGGTGAAGATGGGCTGTTAAACGTGTTTGCTAAATCTTCGACACAAGCATGTTTTAGTTGTGCATATTTATCTCTTCAAACTATAATTATAATTAGGGCATGGCAATGTGCTGTATAGGCATGGCAACGGAGCAGGGCGCCGCCCTGTAAATTTAAACCGTATCTGATATTTGTCGGGAGTAAAACCTAGGTCTCCATCCTCACCCCGCTCCTATTTTTTTCTTTTTTCTTTTAAATAAATATGAGCAATTTTAAAAAATAAAAGAAAAAAAATAATATAAATTTTTACATATAAATATTTCTAATTTTGGTTTATATATATACATATAAATAATTTTTTAATTATATTATTAACCGAGGCGGAGGCGGGGGCGGGGTGGGCTGGGTATTAACATCCCCATCCCCATCCCCAACCCCGATTTTATCAATCGGGGAAAACCCGAACCCGATAAACACAAGTTTTCCCGTCCAAATCGGGACGAGTTCGGGCGGGTACCCATGGAGACGGGTTAGATTACAAGCCTATTACTGTATCTTTTTGTTTTGAAAAGGAATAATGCAAGCATCATTAAGTTGCACATAATTAGTGGTGACCTAAAGAAAAAACATCCTTCTTCCCTTTGCCTTTCTTTGGTTGTGAAACGTCTACGAGTACAGTGGGCAAGGCAACAATATCACAAATAGTTATAACAACCATATTCTCCATTAAGTCAATCCTGGGTGAGAATGACATTAATGATAACCATGCAAAAGGAAGAAGCAGCAGTACTAAATTAAGCATTGGAAGAATTACAAAAATGATACAGAAATACTACTCTATTCTTGTTTTTTTCCCCATAGCTATTATCCATAGGTCTCAAATCTATTTGCCCCAATTATGTGCAAGAAAATATGTCTATAGATACAAATATGACAGGCAATATTTTATTTAGAAATGAATCAATAAACAGGTATAAATATACATTTCTTACGATTATCCGAATAACTGACAAATGAATGTCATGTTATGTAACAAGAGAGTATTGCTTACTCAGATTCAATGTACAAATTTTCATATCACAAACACAAGGACGCATCATGGAGAAGCTTGTTAAACTTACATGCAGCAGCACGACTATTTCAGCAGCTCCAGTTTATTTATTCACAATTCCACAATCCACATACAGACATGGGAGCAGTAAATGACATGCCACTTTTTTTAATGTAAATGAAGGAATGCTTACTGCATCAATTTACTGATGAGGAAGGTCACACAGCAACAGAAGAACAGTGAACAATGGAGGAGCCTTTGGGAAGAGAAAGAACCTTCCCGAACCAACCAAGTTGACCCAACAATTCCCCATCAGGATTCTTCTTCACCCCAATCTCGGCACACCAAATCTCAATTTCTTTCCCACTACTCCCTTGGCACTCCCAAACCACACACAATTTCCCACCCAAATCAGCCATGGTAGCCCCACACAGAAACCTCGGCAAACCCTTCTCCAACCCCTTCAGCTCCTCCCACACCCCGCGCCCCACATCGAACCCTTTGATTTTCCCCAGATAGTCGTAACAGTACAAAACCCCCTCCACCACGCACGCCCTCCCCCGCCACCCGAGATCCAATTCTCCCCCCACGCTCTCCCACGCGCCGATGCGAGGGCGGAACGCGATGCCGCCACGGTCCGCCATGGCGTAGACGGTGTCGCCGACGACGGCGCTGGCGTGCATCCACTTCTCCCGCATCTCGGCGGGGCTGGGCACGCGCTCCCATCGCGCGGCGGCGGGGTCACAATGGGGGCACTACCTATGCAACTAACACCTTTTATCTATTTATAGGCATCAGAAAGGTGCCAGAACAGCCCGTTCCAAATTCGGAACGGCCCGTTCTAGATTTGAACGTTATGTGTTAAATTCTTACCCTGGAACGACCTGTTCTGAAACCAGAACGGCCCGTTCTAGGGTTGAGATTAACACAAAAATGCATTACTAGAACGGCTCGTTCCAAACTAGGTTTTTAGGCTATTTAGCAGTTTGGAATGACCTGTTCTGGTTTAGGAACGACCCGTTCTGGTTTAGGAACGGCCCGTTTCAACCTAAGATTTTTAGGCCTTTTGCCTGGTTTGGAATGGCCCGTTCTGATTTTGGAATGGCCTGTTCCAGATTAGGTTTAGGCCTTTTTTGTGGCTTGGAACGGTCCGTTCCGATTTTGGAACAGCCCATTCTGGGCCACTAAAACTAATTTATTTGGGCTTTAGGCCTTCTGATGTCCTGTCCTGTTGTTTGCATGCTTTGGGAGCTCCTTCCTTTCATAACAGAGGTCCATTTCCTTGTTTGTATGCCCCCGGATGAAATTGGGTGTCTACAGTGTATAAGACATATCTCAGTGGCATCCCCTATGTCAAAGTTGTGGCCTTCCACGACCCTTAACCTTTCCTTCAAGGCATTCAGATGGTCCTTGGAATTTGCCCCCACGCTACTTGCCCCTTCTTCATTGGGTTGGAGCTTTTGCATGGCTTCGAGCATCATGGCCATTTGTGCTTTCATTTGTGTAAGCTCATCAGTGAGTTGATGGTTTTGTTCCTCTAAGGCTTCCATGATTTTTGCCTTTGAGCTTTTGTATGGACAGAGTGTCGAAAAGCCACTTTTTGGGGATAACATTTAATTAAAATTATTCTTGAAATGAATGTAAAGGATTTCTAGTATGAGTTTAAATAAAAACTTTCTGAAAAAAAAAATCTTGTTTATTATGATGAGGAGGCTCTTTTTTAGAGTAAGTGTTCTTTCTCATAATTTTTTAAGATATAACGATGGTCACGTTAGCTCGAGCCTTTCTATTCTTACTAGAAATCCTCATGTGACCCAAAATATTTTAGAAAAATGAATTTTTGTTTGTTGTTTGTTGTTTATTGTTTATGAATATAATACATGTATCTCACTATTTATATTTCCACACTGGGTTTTTTCTCATGCAGATGTTTATGTATATGTATTTTTAAATATTTTGTGTATTTCCTTTACCAAAGGGGGATCATCAAAATAACAAATAGTGCACACATATGCTCAAACAATATACACCCGCGAACAGTCACGTTCTTTCCATGGGTTGAGGTCCCTAGAGAAAGGTGCATAGTATTTGGTGGTTCTAACTATTCTCATCAGTCTTAGGCCCTCAAGATGTCCCCATTATAGGAATCTAGTATTTTTGTCACCGTCAACTAGCAGATAGCAAGGTCCATACAGTGCATCGGGCTAGAGTAACCAGTTAACATCTCAAGCGATGATTTTCGACAACAACTTGTGGGTAGCTAGACCTGTCTACGACCAGCCATATGTCACCCACTCTTTATGGTTATCCCACTCTTGCCCTCGGGTATAGAAAGAAATGTTGTGTGCGATAGTTTGTGTGTAGTTTATAGTTCAAACAATTGCAGAATCTAAACAAACAGAAATTATTAAAGCCAAACTAACAGCGGTTATTTACAAATATTTAAAAAACAAGTTAAGGTAAAAACGTTAATCAAGGCTTAGATTTTATTAACGAATAAGTCACTAAATGGGCCTAACCTTCTTAGCAATAAATCTCCAGTAGAGTCGCCATCTGTCGAAACCTGACTGAAGATGGAATGATGTCCAGTTTGAAAATCTCACCTAACGTCGAAATGCTCGATGACCATACTAAACCTCTGTTGGTGGTTTTGAAAGGTTCATGGAGTTGTCACAAATGTTTTGTTCAAAACATCGAAAAAGAATCATTTTTTAAAATAGAGTTGAGTACGGAGATCAGTTAGACGTGAAGAAGGTGTTAAGCACCCCACAACGCCTAGTATTAGTATCCAAGACATATTCATTAACAAAATTAAGCAAAGATTACCGTTTTTACCCTTTTATTATAGATATATGGTTATGCTATCTGCATGATTTATATTCTAATCATACATTATTTAAAGCAATAAATAAGAGAAAGAATAGAAAAAGAACCTTTGAAGCAAGCTTTTATTAGTAGAAAAACTTGGAAGCACTTTTCAACAGCCTCCTCACTCTACAGAACCTCTCTAACACTCAAAAAATTAAACTAAGAGACTCTGAAATCCTCAGATATCCAAGAATTTTCTAAATTAGGAACAACGTCGAGTATACTTCAGTTAAAATTACTTAAAGAGAGTTAAGAGAGCGAGAGAAAATGCTAATTTTCGAAATTGGATCAAGTGTGTGGGGTATGGTGGAGGAAAATCTCTTAACTAGGCTCTTGAGGGTGGGAACGACCATTCCAAATTTAGAACGGCCGTTCTCACCCCTTACTATATTTGGTTTTTAGGAACGATCATACCCAATTTTGAACAACCATACTTAGTGACATTGAGTATGATCATTCTCATGACCAATATGCTCATTCTCAATGTTCAAAAACTTGTTTCTTTCAAAATATATATATATATATATATAGTAATGACAAGGGAAGGGCCAAATAACTCTGATGGAAAGAGATATTTGATTTTTCTTGCATCTTTAGATTGTTAAAGCAAAGTAAGAAAAACGGCTATACTTCCTGTAATGAATGCAACTAGCTAGTCCAAATCAGATGTGCAAATCTTAAAATTGTTAACCATTCTACTTCTGCACATATTGTAATTAAAATAGTATATTCATTTTAGAAGGATTATCCAGTATGTCTCTTTTAATAGTATTGAGTTTTCTCTAATCAATTATCTTCAAAAGAAGATTGAGATTCTTTGTTTTCTTTTTATATTTTTTGGCCAACCTATGATCAATTATCTTCCATTGAATGTGATGCTTCTTACAATCAGCAGAGGGAAAAGAAATGATCGTAGCGACATTTATAAAAATCACCATTTTGTTTCACATAATTTATATCTAGTTGATTACCTCATACACTCGCAGCACTTTTTTCATTTACATTTAATGTAACACAACATTCTTTGCGTTGGCAGTCTCCATTCATAAACAGGTATTACGGAAAGGCTCACGAGGTTCTGTAATTGGATTCAAGACGATAACAACTTCATTTGTGGTGAATAAGAGAGGGGAAGAGAGAAGGGTGCGGATGGGTTTGGAAACGAGGGAGAGCGTGGGGTGGTGGGAGCGTGGGATGCGTGCTAGACAGTTCAAAGCCACGTCGTCTGGGAGGTACGGGATCAGGTTGTGCGGTGTCTGCGTCTCTGCTTCGGCTTCCGAAGAGGACATGGCTAATGACTTTGGTGTCACTTAGCTTCGTACAAACCAAACAACCCACTCATATAACTGTGGTTTTTTTTCTCTCTCTCTAGGCACTTCCTTTTATGTCACCATCATCGCATGATTTGCATCCCTTTATTATTTTTTAAATTGTAATGGATAAATATAATTTATAAATTATATTTAATTAAAATTTACAATAACTAAATATTTAAATATATATATTAAATAATTCTAAAAAATTATTTTAAAATTTAATTTATAATTGAAAATAAAAATACCTTCCACCACTCGTGTCTGTAAATTTTAATTGACTGATGATATAATTTGATATTAATAATTCTATTTTAAAAATCATTCTTAAAATTATTTTTTTATAAAAAATTATATTTATAAGAGAAATATACTAATAATATTTTTGGACAATAAAAAAATTAATAATTTCAAACATGTAAATCCACTGTTGAGAAGAACATTAGATATAAAACATTGGATCATGACTCTAAGTTTCTGCATTTATTTTTAAACTGCAAGAATCTTTATTCACCAAACTGTAGTTATTTTATGTAAATACAAATCAAGATATTTGGGTAATTAAACTGATGGACTACTTTATTAGAGAAGTTGGGCAGACAAAAGCACTCACATAGAAATGTATTGGTAATATATAACGTTGGCAATAGATGCATGTACTTATCCATAGAAGAAAAAAAACAAAGAATACAAAAAAGGAAGTACATGTTGAGATAATCCATATCCATAAATTGCTTGAACATTAAATAACTAATGGATGAATACACGGAATAAGTAAATGATGACTTGTTATGTGATTATGTCTTTTACTTTTCACGCTGTAGAATTTGTTTGAATTGTTATATATCCACCTCAGATCTCGCTAAGACAGTCGTCTTGGATTGAGAGATGAAATCCTTCCCAACATGAGATTCTTAATAGTAGGCTTACATGCTTCTTGCCTCGTTCTGTGATCCATAGAGGAGAATGGGATGGGTCTCGAATCCATCAAGATGGTCAGTGTATGTTCTTTCTTGTCGATTGGTCGTGAAGAGGGATTGCCTCTCTAATGAAGGCCGATTGGTCGTGAAGAGGGATTGCCTCTCTAATGAAGGCCGATCGGAGTTCCCGCGCTTCATTAATGTGGAAAGTGTTCTCTTCATCTAAGTCACGAGACTCAAGTCAGATGTGATAAGCAAAACCCCTCTAGTGCTAGACTATGAAATGTAATATTCTTAACTTGAACAAGTGTCCCTAGTAGCAAGTGTATGGCAATGGTTTGAGGAACTCGGTTTATTCAAACTTGAAAGCTCACTGATTTTTGTCGAGTTCACTTGATCTTGAACAAGTTTAACAAAAAATTGAGTTTACAACCGATTGTGTCCCAGGTTCAATCACTTGTTAGAATTTAAGATTTAAAAGTGGAGTTTCACAATCACTTGTTAGAATTTAAGATTTTCACAATCACAACGGTATGTGATAAAATAGGCTTTTAATATTTCAAAGACTTTTATATCCAATTTCAGATTCTAACTTATTCATAATGTATGCAGAAGGCAGAAAATAAGAACCTATTTACAAATTACAATAGGTGAAGATGTCCAACAATTGCCAAATGAAAATCTTGACATCATTACATACAGTAGTAAGATAATACAAAAAATCCAATACTGATTATTCTAATAACCCAATAGGATCAGTATTTAATATTTGCAGGCATCTTACCTTAACCCAATACTGATAATACTAAAAACTCTGTAACAGTTGAGATGTTTATATCATTTCAAACAACAATAAAATTAAATAAAACATAATAACATGAAACTTGAAAGAAAATTTCTTTTGTATATTATTTGTCCAAATACTGAAACAAAATGTATACAGCAGAACATGAAACATTGGAACAGAATGTGGATATTTGCTATTCAAATTGTTTATTTTAATAGTAAGACTATGTATATCAAACCAACTTCAATACTTATGTCTATTGGATACAGAATTAAAAAGGTTTAGGGAACTGTAAAACCATCCAATACTGAAAATAAATTTCCAGCAGAGAGACCTGTAGAGTAAATGCAATAAAAAAATATATATAGACAAGAAGGGAGGACAAGTAAGAGAAAATGCATTCACCAAAGTAAATCAATTCTGGATGAAGCAAAAGCTAACCCAGGTTGCTTCATGTCCAACAAAACAGTAAGGATCAGCTGAAAGTAATTTTTCTTTGACAACCAAATTCCAAATTTAGGTCAAGAATGTCTTGACCAAGATGAATGCAATTCTGGCTGCAGCCACCACAAAATCAAAACACACTTCTAAGGTTAAAAGAGTGTATAAATAGCTCAAGTTGAAAATTGCCTTTTCTCTGTTTGGCTGTTGAGTCAGATTCTACTATGCACCCAGACTGTTATCACCACATGCAAAATATTCCAGTGATTTAACTCAGTGCTATACATTTACATTGTGACATTCAAATATTCTTTGAGATATATTTTCTTAATATACATTTCTATGAAATGGTTATTGATATGACTAGTCTTTTTTTTCTTATTTAAACAAACACACTCTATAGTATTAGACAATGTAAGAGCCTAGGCATTATTATTTTTACAAATCTTCATTGAAACATCCAACTTTGTCACATTACTTGACCAACACAAGGCGTCCAGCTTTTATTTATCAACATCATGCATACTATGGCATTTTCCACTTAAGTTGCCGTTACAAAACCCACTCTTCTACTTTACACTCAAAAAGGAATTCCATATTCAAAGCCGGCCATACATTAAAAGCATTTCCCTGAGTCTGTTTGCCTCTCTCTCCAGGCCATCAAAGCTCACCGAACTTGCAATTCTCCAACCCCAGTTCCCAAACTGCATTGGTCAAGAGATTAAACAATGTCATGATTTTAATTATTTAATTTGTGAGAAGGTGGGGGGAGGGGGGGTCTATATTTCTCCAGAGGTTATAAATTTTGAATAAACCAAAATGTTGCCTTAACAACCTACAAGCATTGTACAATATACACTTTACCTGAGTAGCTGGAATATTCATCCTGGCAGAACTACCCAATCCAAGAACATCTTGCATAGGTATTATTGCTGTTTGAGCAACAGAAGCCAATACTCTCTGGATTAGTGCCCATGAAATGTCATCTTCCCCTTTTAATGAAAGATAATTCAAAGCCTGAAATATCAAAATGAAGAAGGAAATGAACTCTTGTTCAACTTGGTTAAGAAATACATTTCAGTATTTCACTGCTATATATATAGGCTATAGAACTCACATTGGCTTTCTCTACTTGGTTCAAAGCTTCCCACCAACCTTCAATCTGTAGCAGAAATACAATTCTTGTCAAGATTTATATTGTTGACAGGAAATATTTTTTAAGACATGACGAAGATATCATAAACTATACATGTCAGGCGCATGCATTTATTTCATTAGGTAAAACATTTCACACACAAAAAAAAAGACATGGGTGCTCCTTGGTAGCACTGGCAACAGTCAGATTAGCCATAGTTAGTGGAATAATTAGTGAGTTAGTAGGGGGCTGGGATGGTTAGAAAAGTAAGGCATGTTGCCTATAAATAGGAAAAAGGGATGAGAGGGACAGCATCTTGTCAATTTGTGACATAATAGGAGCCTTTGGGCATTGGGAGGTGCTGACCCCCGAAGTTCTATAGTGTGTTCTATTTTGTAAATCGGAAAGTTCTTCTCCACACTTTCTAATATAGATACCAGATTCCTGTCACAATCTTTGACTGATTTCTGCAGACCATACCTAGATCCTTCCTAAAAAGATAGATATGCAATATAGGATGTATGGCAGAAGAAATTCTTACTGTGTCATTATCATGAGTCCCTGTATAGACAACTTGATTGCACTCATGATTATGAGGCAAATGAGGGTTATTAGCATCACCTCCAAACCCTGGATAAAGTAAAATAGATAAGAAAATATTCAGGAACTCTGGCTTCAAATTACTTAGAGTAAGCTACTGAAGGATGCTAAACAAAATTAGCAATTAATAATTACCAAACTGGAGAACAGCCATTCCAGGTGCTCCAATGGATCTTCTTAGTTGGACTACATCCTCAGTGATAACTCCCTGTCATAAAAAACAAACCCAAAAGTTCACAAGGGCTGGCCTCAGCAAGAGTGAGGAATAAATGAAACCAATTATGCAATGATGTTAAAACAATTTCAGTGTTTGCTTTAATAATGCATACCAAGTCTTCTGCTATAATATTAATCCTTCCAACAGCTCTGAAAATGGCATCAAATAAGGACATTCCAGGTCCGACCTATCATTTAAATGATAGGAAACAGATTTTAGTTTGAACAAACAGATCAAAATTAAAACAACATGACAGTATCTGACCTTCCACTTTCCAAGCATAGCTATTTTTGCTTCTGCACATTTGTCGAGAACACGTTACAATAACATCACACCAAGCAAAAAGGTGAAATAAGTTTAGTGTAGAGTGTAGACTTACCAGAGGGTACAGCCCAATATCCAGCAAATCCTCTAAAGTGGTCAATCCTAAATTCATCAAATAAATTTTGTGCACGTCGTATGCGACGTATCCACCATGAATACCCATCTTTCTCCATTGCTTTCCAATCATACAGGGGGCTTTTTCATTAAAATTTGAAAATATTAAATATGAGAAATCAATAAGTTAAATAGAACAGGAAACGTACTAAAAGTACCATAGTATAGCATGCTAACAATTATTGCCATAAAGAAAAAGAAAAAATACCAAGGAAAAAAATGCTGAGAAAGGGTCTAGAAATTGTTAAAATGTCCTACACCAACAGGAAATATGACCAAAATACTCGATATAGGGCCTAGGCTATCCTCTACTCTTGAGCTAGCTCTGGGTTTGAGTTAGGTCCTGTCTAATCAGGTGGGATATATTGTCATACACAATGGTTAAAATGAACGATGAAAGGAACTAAATGACACAAATCAAGGGAAATGTCTTGCTGATCATAATCACAAAATAAGCATATATCTTTAGGAAAAGTGAAAGAACATTATATGTTGGAATCAGAACAAAAATTGATTAAAGAACATGGAAAACTTAGATTTATTATAAAAGACTGATCATGGGATT